CTGTTTTGGGCATCTGAAGCCCCTCAAGTAAGCCCTGGTCCCTGCAGCCCAGTCCCCAACATCAGTCTTGGGGTCATCCCCTCTGAACTTGTTGGGGGCAGGGATCTTGGGACCTCTCTAATCCCCTGCAACAACAGCTGCAAAAGTGGGTTTGGCTGTGGCCTTTTGGGACGAAGGTGGTGAGGGGGAAGAATGACGTGAACAGGGAGTAGAGGATGGAGAGGAAGGAGGAGGTTTGGGTTTGAGTACAGGGGATTGAGGAACGATCAACTTGGCTGTTGTCAGCTGCGCAGTTAAGGACTGAATTGCATCCAGTATCCTTGCTGAGCTGCCTGATCGTCAACCCGACGCTCTAAACGGTCCAGGCGATCGTCCCAGTTAGTGAAATAAGAGCTAGTGGCTTTGTGTTCCAGAATGGCCCACTCCGCCAGGTTCTTCTTCACCTGGGAACAACGATCGTTTGTCAGGACCTTGGTTAGCTGCTCCAACAGGTACTCCCTATGAGAAGTATCTGTTGCAGCCTCTAGCTCAGCCGCCTCCTGTCTCTCAAGCTCTGCTAGCAGCGCTTGCTGCTGCTGCAGCCTATCCTACAATTCCTTTTTTTCTGCTGAGTAGCAGTTAGAGGTGCAGTAGGGGTGGAGGTCGAAGGCTGTTGACCTTCTACCTTCATCACTACTTCCACCTATGGCTGCTGCTGAGCCTCCCCGTTCGCCATTTTCCCTCTTCAAAAAACGAAATAACAGACAGACAGCAGAGCGTATGCAGCGATATACAGATTCCTACAGACACTTAGAAATCGCCGCTATCTCATACACAGAAGTCAGGTGGGTGAACAGGCAACAAGCGATTTGGGTTGGAACAGTTTCTCTGGGTCAGAGGTCAGACAAACAGTAAGTCCTGTAAAATCAATCACACGATTTCCTTTTACTGACCCTGCACCACACTGGAGTTAGTATACACCACTTCAGTAGTTCCAGAGATACCCTAGATTTCCAGAGCCCACTAGAAAACAAGAGTAGTTAGTGAGAATGAAAGAAGATTTAAGTACAGACAAGAATGATCAAACCAACAGAGCGATTCGGTCAGGGACCCTAAATTCTAGTCCAGACTTCCATTTCGGCCCTGGTGACTCTGGCAACCATACCCTAGGGTATGGCAAAGTATAGTATTCACTGTATCTAGTGAAATACTAGATATCCAATTAAGCGCTTCTGCACTACTGACAATTTTTGAATTGCGATTGACTGACAACTGACAGAATTGAATTCTGACGAACAAAATTGAAGTTGTGACTGACCCTAGTTAGCACAGATTAAAAATAGACTCAGCGCAAAACTACAACTCACAGTATCTCTACTATTCCATACAGAATTCACAGTCTGAGCATCACAGATCAAGCGCAATACAGTCAGGCAGTCACTGAACAATTTTGGATAGAAAAGAGTCAACAGAGGGTAAGAAATGAGCAAAAGGAGGTAGGGGAGTGATGGCTATGGTTGTCATGCAGTCTGCGATTTTCAATTCCAGTCACTGACAGCCAGATAGACCATCAATACTAATTAATCTAACCCCTATCTGAATCGCCATACAGGGATGTGCATGGAATGAACTCACTTTGAGAGTTTCTTGCAGAGCTTTGTGAAGATCTGGCTATGGCAGACTAAAACCCTCATCTCGCCAGTTTCTTCCAGAAATTCCTCCTCTGTCTTCCACGCACAAAATCTCTTCAAACTTGTTGATCTTCTTCAGGATCCTGATGCGCTACAACCCCTCTAGTCAGAGACACCGGATCTGACCCTGTGGCGCCCAGAGTGCCAACAAGAAATTATCTCGCCACAAGACCCCACAGCCGTTGTTGCTATAAATAGCCTCAGATGAGGTTAATTTCACATGTGATTGGCACAGACTGTCAATCTCCCTCAGCGCTGCTCAGGGATGAAGTCGCTCAGAGAATTCTGAAGTCCTCAGGGGCAATTCGCCACTCTGAGGCAATTCACAATACTGCCCTCAGGGTTGGCTATGGCGAACTAGCCCTATTCTCGCCACTTCCTTGCAAGCGCCCTGACAGGCTCAGTGCGCTTGTTCAGTACAACCACTGAACTCCCTAATTCACCGCTTGAAATCTTCTTCCCTGCTGTCTCAGTACTGGAGAAGATGAATCGCCATGAAACTTCTTGCCAGTAGATCGCCAGATGAAGAAGATGCCTCAGTTGCACTCAACCCTCAGTGCTCCAATTCCAATCCCGCTCCGTTACCAACTGTTATGAACTTGGTTGTCTGACGATTTTCAGCGCCATTCACACACAGACACTCTCACACACGCCCATGCATGCATAAGACAAAGGGGAGAGGAGACAGAGTCCAGACTGTACACAGATCAAATTAGGCAGCGGAATACAGCTATGCACAGGTGGGGAGAAGACACACAGTGTTCCTCACTCTCTGACAGTACTCCCAACAACCAATCACAAGAAGAAACCTGCGAGGATAACAACCGGAATCACACTGATGATGAGCCAACCAAGTATCGTTACAAAGTTTGTTCCAGTATCTTGCCACTTTCAGAACCCCACACTCCACTCTCTACCCTGCACCCAGTCAGTAGCGCAACACCAAAATGGCCTCCCGGAGGCCAGCGCCAACCACCCAGGTGAAGAACAGATCCTGCGGTGAAGTCTTCAGGGCCGATGAACAACTCTGACGAAGAAACAGACAGCTATGGCTGCCGCCACCCACGAGTACTCAGTGAAGAGCCTCGATATAGCCCTGCCAGGCGCAGATACCCTCAGGGGTAGATGCGCTGAGGATGCCCCAGCTTTGGCAACCTTCTGAAGGCTGGCTATGGCTGCTGTCCACGGCGAGGGTCCCAGGATGCCGCCTGTAGACAATCGTCACCACCAACTCGCTTGGCTTCTCCAAACGCTGCTTCGCAAGAATGAACAGCCAAAAGTCCCGACTCGATTTTCCTAAACTATTAATAGATCTCTACTACCCTAGCCTAGACCTAGACCAGACTGACTGGACCGACCGGTACTGTTTAAGTTTCGGCCTCTAGGCCTCACCCTACCCGGCTATAGGCTATAGGACCGTCAATCGGTATAGGCCCTTCGGGCCTGTCCGTCCTGGGGGTAGTCCGGGTCTGCTATACGCAGTGAGGGTAGCTGTAGGAAATTCGAAATAGTGCTGGGCCTATATTTCCCATATTTGCAGATATGTCCCTCACGAATTTGCCTTACAGGTAGGTCTCTCGGTTAGCCCTCAGCCAAACAAAATTACGACTCTAACCTACTGCTGTTACTGTACAGCCTCGCAGTCAGTCTCAGCAGTCAAAATCAGCAAGTCATTGCATCTGTCTCTCGCTCGCTCGCACACACACACACACACAGGGCCTCACTCCACTACTCTGCACATGCAGAAAGACAAAATATGGTGGTGCATCTTCCCATGTTCT